CCCTCCAAGATCTGAAATGGCACCCCTGCTTGTGGGCCGGGCGCTTGGCCAGGCCTCTGTTGTGGGCCCCCAGCAACTGACGCCAGCCAAGGAGCCCTGTTAAAACCCCCACCAACTGGACAGAACGCACAGAGCACCATGGGGGCAGGCCGGGGGAGCTGTCCAGGGAACCAGGGGGCGTGGGCAGCTCTCCAGGGCTTGCTCTGCGGGACACAGGAGGCAGCTCTGGGTGTGTCCCCAGGGGCTCCCCACACCTGGCTCCTCCCCCCAGGTCTGAGCCAGAGGCAGGGTTCAGGGAGGGGGCGGGAACCTCTGGTTTGGCCCCTCCCAAGAGGCCTGATTGGCAGTGGGGTTGAGCTGTGCTGGAGCCGTGGGACGCTTGGCTGGGCCCACGCCTGGCCCCGCTTTGGGGTGGTAGGGCCCTGGCAGTACAACCGGGACAGGGGGCTCGGTCCTGGCTCCTCCCCCCAGGTCTGAGCCAGAGGCAGGGTTCAGGGAGGGGGCGGGAACCTCTGGTTTGGCCCCTCCCAAGAGGCCTGATTGGCAGTGGGGTTGAGCTGTGCTGGAGCCGTGGGACGCTTGGCTGGGCCCACGCCTGGCCCCGCTTTGGGGTGGTAGGGCCCTGGCAGTACAACCGGGACAGGGGGCTCGGTGCGTCGGGCATCCCACTGCCATGGGGACTGGCAGCACAGCCCTGGGCCCTGCCCACACAGGCCAGCCCTGTCTGCTGCAGGACCCCCAGGGGCTGGGGTGTTCCCCCTCCTTGTCTGAATCCTGCCGTGCAGACACTGTCCTGTCTGGGGTTCACCGAGGTCTTGGCGGGGCTTTGGGAGCCTATAGCCTCACGAAGATCTTGTGGTACTGAGTTCCCCAGGCCACTTACATGCTGTTCCTGACTCACTGGCACTTTCTGCTCCTCGCCTGCACCCCACGATTTGTTCTGTTTGCTCGTGAACTGAATGTACTGATTCTCTCCTAGGCACAGCACAGGGCACCAGCACCAGCAACCCTATCACAACCACTGGGCAGACCAGTGACATGGCAACCACCCCGTCCCCCAGCAACGCGACCACCCCGTCCCCCAGCAACACGACCACCCCGTCCCCCAGCAACGTGACCACCCCGTCCCCCAGCAACTCAACCACCCCATCCCATAGCAACTCAACCACTCCATCCCACA